TACAATAACACTTTAAAAGATCAATTTACTCGTTTTACAAATGTTTTTCTTCACAAAATATTCCTCTTTCTTCCGTATATAACACATCAGTCATACAAAGCAAATCCGCAAAAAAACTGTTCAGAATCAAACAGTCAAAATTCACAACTGGTGCGACCAACAAACAGAAAGAAATTATTTGAAGTAGGAGAAAAACAAAAGAATTTACAAACGAAAAATCAAAAATTTTATTTTTATCCTACTACAACTAAGCAAGTCTTCTCTGAATCTTTTGCGGACAACTTGATGGCCACTGTAGTCGATTTAAAAATTTATGTGGTGGTGTCACGTCATTTTCGAAGTACGGTATAACGAAAGCCCAGAATGATTGATTGAATGGATTTGAATCCAAATCATTGTTGTGATACGAGATCTAAAGGGTATAAGTAAATGAAGTTGATCAAATAAAATTTAAAACAGTTGCGTTGAATTTAGTGATTCAATTTATTTGTCATAAACTTACTGATAGTGAATGATATGTCCAAAAAACTCTGGTAGTAATCAAATAACCAAGTACGAGATCAATTGTATAATGTTTCCTAGCAAATAGTATACAAAGCAATGCTACTAAAGCCAGGTATTTATAAATTTGTGCAATCAAATTTAAGCGACGAGGCACATAGTACCGAACGGTTAAAACAGCACTGAACAACGAAACCGTATGACCTGAGACAATCAGATCTCCACATAATTCCCTAAAAAAAAACCAATTACTGCTTAACTTTTAATTCCTTTCACAATTTCATTATTTAGAAAGTAGCAATTGGGAGAAGAAAGCTGTTGTTGTCTACTAAATGCACTTTCTTCTGCCCTGATTTTTATTGCTTTATATATATACACTCTTCCGTACAACCTGTGCACTTCTTTTGAATTTTAACAGCACATTCAAACATCAGACGCACATTTTGATTTTAGTCTGGTGTTACGTGCGGCTACAGAGTACGCGACCGCCAGGTTTTAGAAATTTGTTTTACGAGAACTTTACAGATTCGCCTAAAATTGCCTGTCCGGTGTTGCTAAAGCGATACAAGTAAAACTGTTCTCGCCCTCAAATAGATTAAGTGAGCCATGTGGGATTTATAGCCAATCTAAGCTCCACTGACTGCGATCGTAAAAAATTGAAAAAAATGTGGTAGAATGAGATGAAAATGTGGTAGCACAAAAAAAAGCTTCTCTCCGTTCTCTCCTACTTCAGTACTACAAAAAAAAATCCAGCAGAAAAACATTCTTCAGCAAACAGCCCAAAAATTCAAATTTTCTTTTTTGAAAAAAAAATTTTTTTTTCTTTGCGAGAAGAATTTTAACTGAAAATTGGAAGCACTGAGCTCCAGTCTTTCCGAATCCTCCCACTAGCGCATTAGTCTATCAAAATGGCCAATCTTTTAAGGGACAGGAAGAGATAAAAAAAGCAGATGGTACTGCTAGATCGTTTTCAGATCTACTAGAAATGCAAACAGTAAGATTATCAAGTCTTTTCCCTCATAATGAACCACTAAAATGCCTCTTTTAGATATGTCTATCAAACTCCCCAATTGGTGAACAGAAAATTGAACCGATTTACACGCCTAGTTAAGTGGCAGTAATATTTAACTCGCTAAAGACAGCAAAATGGTTATTGCAGCTAAGCAAAATTATACCAAAAAATATTTTTATTTCACCTAGGCCGTAGTTGTTCGATGCCTGCCGACCAAAATATTTTGACAACCCTAAGGAAAATAATTTTTAGACCTCCTTCAGTTTTGGGCGCACAATACGTTTTTCGACTTGGGACTGGTACCTAAACTAGAAAAATCTGTGCAAATTTTTTTCGAGTTTATATTTTTGACAACATAAAATAGCTGAATAATTACCGAAATCTATTGTACGTCAATAATATGCAACAAAATTTGACTAAGATCATCTAAGTTGCTCTTAGGTGTTACAGTTATATCTTATGTTTTCATTAAGTAATAACATAAATGTTAATTATTCAAATAACAAATTTAAAAAAGATATTTATGTTTAAAAGGAAAATCACTATTATTCAAAAACTGATTGATTTCTAAAAATCAATGAGCTGACCTGAAATATGCAAATAAAAAACGCTCGAATGAAGTAACATAATGCAACACAAAAGAACACTCTTCTCGCCACAATCCAACGGTGTTGATGCGTAAAAATTATTCCTAATGCTGATATTAATATTAGCAACATTATATATTCCGTCACTTTGATAGCCCCAGTAATCTATAATAATCATAAAAATGAAGCTTAAAAACAATAAAACTTATGTCAAGATCAGCATTCTCTTCTTTTTTTCCTTCACAGAACATAAATTACTTTGACTCAATAAAAATGATAAAATTTATTTTTAATCTAAATAGATTGTCACAATAAGTTATCAGTTAAACAGTTTCAACAACAGTATCGTCATTACTGTTTACCGATAACCAAATTAATGACCATAAATAAAGCTTTAATTCCTGATTACAGCTAAGTGAATATAGAAAATGGTAGGAAATTACCTCTGGAAAAATGCTAAAGAATAGATCTGGAAGAGGTTTGCCATCGGCATCCCGCGGTACTCGCTCGTGTATCCATGCCAGTGCTATTTCGTTGGACAACCAAGCAGCACCCTATTAATCATATTCTTTAGTTAGATGTCTCCTGACAGAAATAATCTGGTTTTTGGTACAGCATATTTGTTGCAGTAATTAAAAGCTTTCACCTGTTTACCTTTAATTCTCCTAAGTGCTGCTTTTTTCCTTCTTTTTTTTTTCTGCTGATTCAAGTATTCTTGTTAATAATTTTTAGTTTTTATCTTATCTAAGATTGTCCTTTAAACATGCTTAAGCTGGAACAGGGTAGGAAAATAAAAAAAGAAACGTTGAGAAACGTCAACAATAAGCATTTCTTAAGAAGTATTTAATGCATTTGAAAAGAAAAAATCAAAAATTCGATTTATTTTAGTTCTCATAGAACTATTGAACAAAAGAGTGTAAGAAACAGAACTGAAGAATAAACTTAATTTCCTTTTCTTTCCTTTTTTTCTTTGTTTTGCTGTTCAAATTTCGAAGACCTAACGACGAGTATCATTGTTTTGCAAAATGTTTCTTACTTTTGCAATTACACTATTTTCTCCATCACTTAGTTATTTCCTTTTTCTTTTGCTTTCCTTTCATCGATCTCTTAAAACTTTCTTTCATTTAAGAAAAAAAAAGCAAAAAGAAAGAAGAAAGAAAAAACTATTATTGTTTCTCAGTCAAAGTGAGGAGAAGGGAAAAGGTTTTGTTGGTTAGTTCAGTTTCGCTATTTTTTAACAACTTTCAGTATTACTCAAATAATTTCAGATAGATTTTACTGTCTAAAAAATATTAAAAAAAAAAGCAAGAAAAAAATCTTTTTAAAAACGTGACTTGACAACAGCAATAACAATTAAAAAGTATAGACAAACTCAGATTCTGTATCAGTTTAATCAACAACTAATCCTAAAGTTTATGCAAATTTGAACAGCATATTATTGCGACAGTTATTCAGTTTTCAAAAGCTGTTAAGTAGACGACAGATAAATGACACTTACTCTTTTTTTATTTACCTCCCAAAGAATTCTAAAACAAAACAAGAAGAAAAATTAGCGAATGTAAATCAGTCAAAAAAAGAAAGAAAAACTAACTAACTACTTAATCTAAAAAGTACTTCTCTTTGTTCAAACTAATTCGAAGTAATGCCAAATTTAGCACCTCTAACTAGGACTATCCAGTTTTGATAAACTAAGATTTGAATAAGGAAATAAACTAGGTAGATGTGACTAAAAAAATACGATAATTTTTTTTATTTTTTGAACAACATATCAACTGAATAACCCGGTTTTTTTCCTTCTTTTTTTTAAGGATTGAGTTTAGCAGCATTTGGCCAATGTGACCGCAAATGTTTGAAGTATAATTAAACCTTTCCAACAATATTTGTCCAATGATCGATGCACTAAAGCTGATAATATGAATACGTGCACCTAATGTAGTCAGTATGAAATTATTCACTATTTTAACACTATTACTTGAGTTTAATTAAAGGTTTTTAAACTGTTACCCTAACAAAGTAAGAAATTTGAATCTTTCAATTTTTTTCGGTTTACCACAGTATAATTAAATTTATTTTTTTTCTCTGAAACAATTAATGTCATTGCCAAATAATTCTTTAGAAAAGAAAATTATTCAAAAACTAAATTTCCGAATAGTTTCCAGCTGCAAAAGACCTTTTCTTGTCGAACATTCTAACACCTTAGCCTACCACACAGTCAGCCGATTTGATGATTTTATAGCCAATGTGTTTGTTAGTTTAGTTAAGTAGTTTTTTTCTCTTGAAATGTTACAGAAAAGAAAAAGAACAGAAAAAAAAGATAAAACAAAGATTAAATAAACTAAGAAGCAGCATAAACGTTTTCAAAGTCTCCTTCTCTTTCTGATAAAGTGTTAAATGTAACAAAAAAAAA